ACACACACACACACACACACACACACACACACACACACACACACACACACACACACACACACACACACACACAAAGAGAGAGAGAGAGAGAGAGAGAGAGAGAGAGAGAGAGAGAGAGAGAGAGAGAGAGAGAGAGAGAGAGAGTCAGAACCAATTGCATCTACTCATTATACGGAATACTCAGTATGGACATTGGACACGGAATCAAATAGAGGGATACTCGTATCCCTCTAATCTAGTATCAGAGATATAGCCAGAGGAAGACAGAGAAAGAGAGAAAGAGAGAGAAAGAAAGAGAGAGAGAGAGAGAGAGAGAGAGAGAGAGCCTTGACTACTCTATCTATCTATCTATCTATCTATCTATCTATCTATCTATCTATCTATCTATCTATCTATCTATCTATCTATCTACAGTCAAACCTTGTTGTATCGTCCCGTGCTGTACCGTCAGCCCAGCTAACATTCAGATTTTGTCCATGTACGAAAAGGAACGCCTATAAACATTGACACAGTATTTGCGTCTTCACACCGCCATCCGCCAACCGCTCACTGTTTGAATTGTATGGACTTTATCCATGTAAATTTGCCCCAATGAAATGGCCGCCTGATGTACACTATGCACAGTGCTCGGCACCCATGGTTGGCTGTTTGATCATCTTTTTGCCGCACACGTCTATGCAAGCTCGGCATTCTCTAGCGCTTGTTGTCGATTTGCTCCTGATAATGGAAACGACATTGTTTTAACCCTATCCATACGTCGAGTTTTACTACCGTATCCATACGTCAAGTTTTACTATCGTATCCATACGTCGAGTTTTACTATCGTATCCATACGTCGAGTTTTACTATCGTATCCATACGTCGAGTTTTACTACCGTATTCATACGTCGAGTTTTACTACCGTATCCATACGTCGAGTTTTACTATCGTATCCATGCGTCGAGTTTTACTATCGTATCCATACGTCGAGTTTTACTATCGTATCCATACGTCGAGTTTTACTATCGTATCCATACGTCGAGTTTTACTACCGTATCCATACGTCGAGTTTTACTACCGTATCCATACGTCGAGTTTTACTACCGTATCCATACGTCGAGTTTTACTATCGTATCCATGCGTCGAGTTTTACTATCGTATCCATACGTCGAGTTTTACTATCGTATCCATACGTCGAGTTTTACTATCGTATCCATACGTCGAGTTTTACTACCGTATCCATACGTCGAGTTTTACTACCGTATCCATACGTCGTTGGTAACTTTGTGCCGCCACTTTCCAAAGAGGAAATTCACCCGTTAATCCGATCAGTACGCGTTGCGTAGAAGTCTGTCAACATGATTTTTTGAGAAATACTGAAAGTTTCAAAGAAATTTCAAAGAGTATTCTGAAATGTGAAGAATACAACCACGGGGGTACAAAATGACACCAGGGTGTACGGATAAGGGTTAAGGCTTTGGCAAATATCTTAAAACAAGACACTAGAAGCAAACGTTATAGCCGCCTGCAGAAACTTCAAAGGAACGCATCACCTCGGCCTGTCGTTTAACAGACATCATTATGGCGCTCATATGACCTTATGCAGTTGCGAGCGCCGAAAAACCTCTACTAAAACTAAAAAGACATCAATAGCCCGATGACCAAAAGGCTACCGAGCGCCCGTGAACTTTTTATATGGTGAAGACTTACGCTCAATAAGTCTGCGTGAAAGGTTATCGGTGGCCCGAAGACTGGCGAATCATCATCATCATCCCGTGCCAGATTTGCGACAGACATCTGCAATAATGGTTTCCATTCATTCCTTTACCCGGATGCTCTCAAAAAGCGATCTATCTATCTATCTATCTATCTATCTATCTATCTATCTGTCTATCTATCTATCTATCTATCTATCTATCTATCTATCTATCTATCTATCTATCTATCTATCTATCTATCTATCTATCTATCTATCTATCTATATGTTTCACTTACCCCCAACTGTAGAGCCATTTGTCCTGGAAGAACCGATGTCACACTGTACTTGGTCTCGTGGCCTGCACACTTTGGTGGAGTTATCGAACAAGAACCCTTCCTGACACTTGGTAGAGCTCACCACTAGGCCTCTAGAGCACAGTAAAAACGTGTCACATCGACTTGGGTCTTGGGTTTTCCCGGAGTACACATCGCACGACTCTGGAGAGATGGAAAGATGGAATGAGAGAGTTGGGAGAGAGAGAGAGAGAGAGAGAGAGAGAGAGAGAGAGAGAGAGGGGGGGGAGGAGAGAGAGAAAGAAAGAGAGAGTGAGAGAGATGTGGGAGAGAAAGAGTGGAAAAGAGAGAGCAGGAGAGAGAGATAGATAGAGACAGAGATAGAGAGAGAGAGAGAGAGAGAGAGAGAGAGAGAGAGAGAGAGAGAGATATCTATCTATCTGTTCCCCTTACCCCCAACTGTTGTTGAGCCATTTATCCTGGAAGAACTGACGTCACACTGTACTTGGTCACGTCGCTCGCACAGTTTGGTGGAGTTATCGAACCAGAACCCTTCCTGACATTGCAGTGCGCACCACTACGCCGTTAGCGCACAGTAGAAACGCGTCACAACGACTTGAGTCTCTGGTGAATCCAGTGGCCACATCACACAGTCCTGAAGAGATGGAAAGAGAGAATGAGAT